CGATATTCATTCAGGAACAGAAATGAAATTATCGTTAGCCTTTGTAGGGGGGGTTATAAAACTAAACATCAGAGATGATGTCATAAAGTAGTATAATTAGATTTTAAATCTGTATAGTTATTAAAAATATTCACGGAACATTTGGGGGTAGTTTGCTGCTTTGACTGAAGGATTTACTCAGAGTAAGTAAGAAATGCCTCACCGTGTGACGACTGGCCCAGGACCGCTCACGTGGGGCGAGATGCTGCAGGGGCCACGTTAGGCCAGCAAGGCTGCCTCCACCGTATCGTGACCGAGTCTGAGGACCACTGGCTTGCCTCCGAGTTAAGAAATGTGTCTTTATGCATTTCCATTTAAGACAAGTACCTCTTTGTGAATCTCCAAACTATGTATTTAGGGCAGAAACAATATTTCTTACCCTCCCTAATTTTTTTGTTTGTTTTCAGTTCAACAAATATATTTCTGTGCCACCACAGAAAACCCTTTTGTCTCCTTACATCACAGTTAGTTGGTCTTTTATCATTTGATTTTCGGAAAAAACTTAAGTGAAATCAAAAAAGTGAATGAGTATATATAAAAAAGAGATTTACTCTTCCTGAGAGAAAATGAGAAATGTTTCACTTCCGAAATGAGAATCCTCGTTTGCATATTTTTAGAAGATTTTGTAAGTCACAGTCACCAGAGATCAGGAACCAGGAACGAGGCAGGCAGGTAACTGAGCGAGGTGGGGTGGGAGTGGGCCAGGAGCGTGCCCTGGATCTGCGGCGTGCATTCAGATAATACGGATTCAGAGATACAGTCAACTGATTGTCCCCCAGCACAAACACGGGCCTGTGGCTGCCACATATTCTCATTTCTCAAGCTGTGCCAGAAAGCATGGGTTTTTAGATGAAATCTCCCAAATTAATTCCACGTTCAAAAAGAAATCATTGTCCACCAAGCAAAAATGCGTCTTATGAGCTCAGCCCAGACTCCAGGCCACAAGTCTGTGGATCTGTTTTAAAGCTTTGCTTTTATAACCGTGTGTCCATATACACATTTGTTGGGCCAAAATTCATCATCGTCGTTCATCAACAGTTAGGAGTCAGGTGCGGTTGGGATGACCCACCTGGGGGGACAGTGCAGGCACCATGGGTGGCAGATGTGGCACTGGGACCACCATGGGCCCAAAGGGGCAGGGAAGAGAGAGGGGGTTACCCCAACCCACAAGCTGGAGGGCTCGAAAGTTCAGCTTTCTAAAGGATTCCATTGAGCTGTTTTGGGTCTTGTGCAGATTCTGCAGTCAGACAGCAGGAGCACACCATCTTGCCAGAAGGTTCTTCCCCCCTGGAGGTCCCTGTGTCCATTGGTTCCCTGTGGACCCCCTCAGGAGCCAAACCCCAGAGCCGCTGCACCAGCCACTTCATGTATCGGACTTGTGCTTAAAATTTCATTTGACGAACAGCTACAAGTTTGAAAACCAGTGGACCAGCCACAGGCGTGTGACCAGCACCGTCGCCTAGTTTTACGTTAGTGTCCGTTTTAAGGAATCTTCTCTTTCCCTTTTCTCTAGTGGATGTTTGGCTTTGAAATGAAGAAGCTGTCAACCTATGATTAGTTCTTTGTCGGATATCTCCATTTGAACATTTCCTGTGTTCCTTGTCCACGGTTCAGATTGACTCACTGTCCTGTGTGCACGTGGATGCTTATTGCTGGAGTGTGGCCTCGAGTGGTCAGTGACAGACACACCAAGAGAATTCTCTCTGCCTTTTAAAGGAAGTACATCGGGAGACTGTTAGGCTGGTCATCCTTAGGGAGTCACACTCCTGAGGGAAGGGACAGGGAAACCGGCGGTGGAGACTTGAGTGTCATGCTGGCATCCTCAGCCCAAAGGCAGACAGACAGGCAGCAAATTTATTTTTGATTTTTCAGGTGTGTGGGCTTTGTGTGCCTAAAGCTGGTATAAAATGAGGTTTTGTGGACAGATTCTGCGCTTGATAATGACTCATCAGGGGCACGAATGGGCCCCCAGGGGCAGGAAAGAATCATCTCCTTGACATTTGCACCAAATGGCAGGTGTCCCGCGGGCAGTACGGGCTCCGGGGGCCTGGCTCAGCAGTGGGGTCAGCTTGCACGTATCTTCTCGTCGTTCTTTTCTCCCATCCTCTTTCCATCGTTACCTCTCACCCACCATAAAAATGTTCGCAGTGTCCTATCTGCTAGGAATTCACACCATGAAAACCAGAAAGGGGCCTGGGGGCCCCAGGAGGGGTTGTGGGGAGGAACCTCATTCTGAATGGTGGTCTGGGTGCTGGCCTGTGGGATCAGGGTCCCCACAGGGAAGAGAAGGCCCCGGCCCACACCCTTCAGTTCAGAAGGGTTTCTTTCCAAAGGAACAGAGCTGTGGACAGAGACAAGCCCAGGAGGACAGTCCAGGCACTGGGGCTGGCAGACGGGGCGCTGGGACCACCATGGGCCCAAAGGGGCAAGGAGAGAGAGGGGGTTACCCCAGCAAGCCCCCAGCAGAGGGACAGCCAGCCCAAGGCTACCACGCAGGGAGGGAGCCCAGGAGCAAACGCCCCCATTTCACACTCCTCCCTTGTACTGGCTCCCGCTGGTTGAGCCCGGTGGGGAGCCAGGGGTACTGGCGCTGACGGATGCAGCCCAAGTGGACGCCCTCCTGAGCGGGGAGCAGGGCAGGGGAAGCGTGTGGCAGGAAGGCAACGGGCAGGTGCAGGTGTGGACACAGGCTGCAGGACGAGACCCATGGTTTGCTGCCCAGTGGGAGCGCCAGCTCCTCGGGGGGCATGTGGCATATGGAGAATACCTGGAGGAGCGTGTGGTGTGTCCCTTAGTGCCACCTCGCTGCCCCTGGGCTGCCCCTCTGTATCTATGATGCACATGCCTGGTCCTCCTCCCTAGGCTGGCATGAGGGTCTGACCCGGAGTGGGCGTGGGAACACTAGCTGCTGCTGTCACACGATGTGGGCATTTCCAGGGTTTGCGGGCATGCCCAAGTGTTAAACTCAGAACATCAGAGCTGGGAGGGAGACAAGGTAACTGGCTTGAGACTCTGCAGTAGACACAGGAGCCAAGACCCGGGCTCCCGACCTGCAGTCCTGTGCGTGTCCTGGAGCACCTTTGATAGCAGCAGCCCGTGGTGGTGGCGAGCTTTCGTGGTAGTTACTTTCTGGTTTAAGTATTTGTCTTGTAATCAGTCTGAGCTCTCCACCAGGTCCACTCAAACTTTCCTGTGTGCACAGGTCACCCCAGGATCTTATTAAAAAGCAGGTGCCAGGGTGAGCCTGGGAATCTGCATTTCTCAGTGCTCCCAGGCGATGCTGCTTCTGTGAGTGTGAGAAGTACACTTAGAAAGATCTGTGGGCTTCCCATTCTTCCCTTCCTGGCTGTTAGCTGTTCCTTATGGCTTTTTTCTGGAATCGGGTAGACTTGCCTAGGAATAGCTTCCCTTACGACATTCGAGATGTACTCAGTTCCCACAACAGCATAAAATCGGCATCATTTTGGGGGCTGGCCCGGTAGCACAGCTGGTAAGTTCACATGTTCCACTTCGGCTGCCCAGGGTTTGCTGATTCAGATCCCGGGTGCGGACCTACACACCGCTTGGCAAGCCATGCTGTGGCAGGCATCCCACATATAAAGTAGAGGAAGATGAGCATGGATGTTAGCTCAGGGCCAATCTTCCTCAGCAAAAAAAAAGAGGAGGATTGGCGGTGGATGTTAGCTCAGGGCCAATCTTCCTCAAAAAAAGAAAAATCAGCATCGTTTTTTAAGGCAGAAGTGTATTTTTAAAAGTAAAGTCCTTCATCTTCATTCATCGCTTGTTTGTGTCTTACTGGCAACCGTTTCCGTAGGTGATTGCGTAGCTTTCCCGGGCTCCATGGAATTATAGTGGGGTCCGTGTTCATAGGGGAGCCCTGGTTCCCACCTCTGGCTGCTCCCAGAGTCACCGGAGTGCTTTAGGAAATGTGTCTTCTCCCGAGCCCCACCCCAGACCTTCTGGACCAATAACTGGAATACTTTGAAACCTCTATTTTTAAAAAGCTCCACGGGTAATTCCCATAATTGGCCAGATTTAGGAACTACTAATATGGTCTATGTCTTTAAAATCTTCTCCTATGAAAACCTTCTATTAAAACAATTTAGGACTTAATTGGTTCTAAACAAAAACAATCAGAGGAAAGTTAAAAAAGGAAAAAAGAATCCTAATACCTTTGAAGATCCGTATATAAAACTAACAAACTCATCCATGAGCCACAAGGTATGATTGGCTGAGCTTTAGAGAAAGGCACTTAATTATGTTTTTGAGTCTAAAATTGGTGTGACCAGATAATTCATTTTGATGTTGAGGCAACTGATTCAAATCATTAAGTATACAATGGAATCATTTTTCATCACAGTCCCTGTGCGCCATGAAGTTGCTAAGGTTATTTTTCCTCTGCTTGGTCTTTTCAAGGTTAAGAGTAAAGTTACCTGGTTTGAGAGTCTGCATTTCCACCGATGTGGCATCTGGGAACTTTGATTTGTGTTGATCATAAAGTATAGCTTCCCCGTGAAAATAATCCTCTGGCACCAGACAGGGGACTCCCAACTGGTGATCATTTTCACATCCCTTGATGGGCTGACCCAGCAGCGCTCCCATAGGGTCCATCTCGCTGGCCTGCCAGGAATGTTGCTTTTCCCAAAAGTGCGTGTTTTGTCTTCGCCTCTGCTCCATCTGGAGGTGGCGGTGGTGTCGCGTGTCTCTGTTTAGAATTGCTTTATGTGCACTCATTTGAAGGCTCCTTCAGTGTTTTATCAAGCTCCCTGAGATTGGTGCCCGCCTTTTTCAGTCTTGCGTATTGTTTTGTACGATGCTTCCATTTTCCATGCAGGCGGGACAACAGCTGCTCCCGGTGCTAAGGTCCACTGTGCGCAGGCGCGTCGACCCCTTAGACTAACTCGTGAAGGCTTCGGGGTCTGCAGTCCGCGGTGGTGTTCACCTGACTTGTTTATTCCTAGGGAATGTCACTAGTGCGTCTGGGTCTCAGATGGCAAGCGGCGTCAGCCTGGTCTCCTTCAACAGCCGGCCGGACGGCATGCAGCAACGCTCCTATTCTGTCTCCAGTGCCGACCAGTGGAGTGAGGCTACGGTCATTGCAAACTCGGCCATCAGCAGTGGTAAGAGAGGGCGCGGCCCCACGGACCCGCGGCCACCTCACGGTCCTCGGTTGTAAGCCAGGGGCCGGACACAACGCCCCCAGTCTCTGTGCTCTGCTCTGAGAATGGCGCAGCCGTGTCAACGATGCGCGCCTCGCCTTGCATCCGTGGAGTGTTTTTGTCCTTCATAGACTGTCTCGCCCACGCCATCTCATTGGTTCCTCTTGGTTCAGGAAGGAGATGATGTTCATCCCCGCTTGACAGATTTGGAAACTGAGGCTGCAGACAGGGCAAGTGGCCTACCGGGGTCATGTGATAGGGAGGCAGCAGAGCTGAGAAATAAGAGCAGATATGTGCCCCTGGTTACACTGCCTTGCACGATGTGGCCTACGCTTCCACCGTTAGTGCGCATCTTATGTTGTTAGGGTTTGGGATTTTTTTTTAAATCAAAGGAAAACATAATTCATCCTTCTTAGCAGTTTTCCAAGATTCCTGGCATATCCTCTAATTTGTGGGGAGTCTCCACCCCACTTTTTTTCTCGTGTGGGCAGCTTCTTGAGAAAGAAATGTGCCCACTGGAAACTGTCTTGACGTGCGCGTGAAACCATGAATTATGCAACGTCGGGGCTGTGCTGGCTTGCCGAAACGTGTTTTGCCTGTGGCATTTTGTCTATGGCCTGTTCACCGGTATTTAAAGGAATTCCCACTGTTGTATGTCATCCATCAGCCAGGATTTTAGAGTAATTTTAGCATAATTTGTTCTAATTAAAAGATTCAGCATCAGGTCTTCCCTGTAGACCCACCAGCTGCCACGGCAGGGCGTTGGCTTGGGGCAAACAGCATCCTTATTTCTAGTTACTCCACACTCCTCCCGTGGACACTGCCCAGCAGAGGCCTTAAAGAAAGACATCTCCAAACCAAGTGAGGAGGGAAGCTGAGTCCGTAAAGGCAGCTCCAGAGGATGCCCTAGCTACGCAGGTCTGGGAAAGCTTCTGGCTCGGAGCGCCATAGAGCATTGCCCAGGTGCCCAGCATGCTCCCAGCTCCAGGCTTCCTTCTTGATTCAAAAGAAGCTGCTTCGGTAGAGAGCGAACATCTGCCTTCAGCCTCCTTGGGGACCCTTCAAGGCTTTCTGCCTTTCATCTGAAATCATGACGATACCTTGAGAACCCCAGCGAGGGAGGTTCCACATCATATAAATTAACCACCCACAGCTTGTTCCCTTGCAACATGACATCCGTGCATTCATAGCCCTCACACGCCCCGGAAAGCCTAGTGGTGGGTGGTGGGCCTTCTCGGCAGACACATCTGTGCTTCCATCAGAGCTGCCCCACACCTGCACACCAGGTGGCCTTGGGCAGGCTACCTCACCTCCATGAAGCTCTGTTCTCTTCTGATAAATGGATGTGCTTCCGTCCCTTGCGTAGTCGCTAGGTGTGTATTGCAACACCTGGTCCGTGGCTTCCATAATTCAGTATCTACTATTGTTATTCCAGTTACTCTCTGTCGGAGGAGCAAGCGGTGTACATGTTTAATTTTGCATTATCAAATACTTTGAAATGCGTTAATTTTTCAGTTAGCGTTAGTAATGCTATCCGATTGGGTTTATTGTGTTGCTGCCTTTCTGTGAAGGTGTGCTCCCATGGTTGAGGGTGGGAGGAGCTCCAGGCTGGGCCTTCCCAGAGCCTGGTGCACACACTGCCTTGGCCCCGCCTTGTAGGGCAGAGACCTTTGCAAGCTGTCCTCCTTTGAGTGAGCGTGGTTGAGTGACAAACGTGGCCTGAGGAGAGCGACAGTTTTTAGCTTCTGTGCCTTAGGTACTCTGAGAGTTATCTTTGGGGAGAAGGAAGTTCCTGAAAGAGACCATCACCCCAATCTTTGCCTCCCCTATGCTCAGGATATTTTTACAGAAAAGGCACTGGAAGCAGCATATTCATCTAAAATCCATTTTGTACAAATATTCCTTCTGCACAATGATCTCTTTCATAAAGACCCACCAGCTAACTTTCCCCCTGCCTAACAGCTCTTTGCATCTGGTGTTGCATGTACTGGACAGGCATTTCCACGCGACCAAATCCTGAAACTCTTCCTCCCAGACCCTGGGCTTGTATTGGTCTGTACACGCAGATTTATGAAGTACCCGTAAGAGACGGAGGTTGCCTACGTACAAATGCTGTTTTTCAACTGACAAAGCAATTTCTCCCGTACTAACGCCCTTGGGTGTCTGTTCTTCATTCGCATAGCGTGTTTCTTAAAGACTAGGCTCCCTGATGTCCCAGGGCTTGAACTCTGAATGCAGGAGATCAGAAACACCAGTTTATGCCCCAGTATCAGCCTGCTGTGGGTACGGATGGAGAGCTTTAGAGAAAGCCCGGGCTGAAATTGTGCAGGTAGTTTAAGGATTAGTAGAGTTCATCAAGGAAAACTTCCCAAAGAGAATCAAACTTGAGCTATGCTTAAAGAACCAGATGGATTTTTTTTGTGTGCAAAACCGCAGGAGGAAGTTTTTATAAGCGTTGAGGCAATTTGGACAAAGACAGAGGAGGAAGAGGGAAAATGGGACAGCTGAGGCGCTCTAGAGAAACAGAAGGTGTAAGTTGGAGTGGCGAAATGAGGAGAGACGAGAAGAGAAGAGATGAGTGTTGAAAGGTCAGAATTGCAAAGTTGATTAGCATCTTGTTTTAAGACTTACAGCAGACATTTTAAATAGCAAAGATCGAGAAAGACAATAAAATGTTGTACAGAAGTATGATTCCTACAGTCATCCTTCGTGCCTGTGTTTTCTAAGGATTGATGGTGTGTCACACCCAAGATACAGTTGAAAAGGGAAACCAGAGCCGTATTAATAACAAGAGCTAATATTTATTGAAAGCGTCCTGTGAATTATCTCGTTGGATCCTCAGGGAGTAGATACTGTCGTTCGCTCCCTTTTACAGATGGAGGGACTCTGGTACAGAAGGGTTAAGTTCCTTGTTCAGAGTCACATCCTGGTAAGGGCCAGGATGTCATCTCAGGTGGCCTGATTCCAGGCCTTTGCTCCACATTGGCACCTCTCAAGATGTGCTTCCCAGACAGGCAGCAGCCGCCTTTCCTGGGAACTGGTTAGAAGTGCAGATTCTTAGGTCCCATCCCAGACCCAGTGAATCTAAAACTCAGGGGTGGGGCACAGCGACCTGTGTGTTAACAGGCCCTCCACGCAGTTATGCTGAAGTTTGAGAACCACCGCTCCAAATCCTTGCTTCTCAAAGTATCGTCCATGGACCAAGTGGCATCTGACAGCCCCCAGGGAGTCGGCTAGAAATGCAGAGTCCCAGGCTCCACCAAGACTCCCTGGATTGGAGCTGCATGTTACCAGGATCCCTGGGTGATCGGGGTGCACCTGGGAGTTGAGACACCCTGCCTGCCAGGAGGGCAGCATCCTGGCTTCCCTCTGCACAGCACCATCCCTGCCTGCCTTCCGTGATTCATCAAGTGGCCAGACCCAAAGCGATTTTTAATGAACCGCAGGGCCCAGGATCTGACTGGCAACTTCAAGAAAACACGTTTATGAATGGATTTTGAGACCTCAGCTTGGGCGGCAACATTCCCTGCTGTGCCTGGAAAATAATCAGAAAAGAAACAAACACGATTAAAAGTCCTCTGCCATGCTTTTCCTTTTTAAACGGCACTTGATACAAACCCAACTCTCTTTTTTTTTTTATTTTATAATACTCATTTTATCACCTTCCCCCCCCCTCCCCCCCCCGCCCAAGTCTCTGGTTTGGATGTCAGAGTCATAAGAAGCTTACACTGTGCTAACAGCAGGGATGGGGGAAGCTGAGCACCTCTGAATCCCAATGCCCACGTGTTGGTGAATATGCTTTCCCATTGTCATGCACTTTTATTGTAAAACATCATTATAGTAACAACATTGGGATTCAGTTTTTCTCTGCCCCCTTGTCCACACTAAATTAAGACTTTAGCTCCCAGAACTTTTCCAAGTCTTCCCCTCTAGGCGCACAGGTACCCTGGGGGTTTCTGTCTTTTAAGCAGCTGTGAGCAACTCGTGATTAGATAGATTACTTTGTGGCATGCAAAACTACAAAACAGGAGGTTCTGGTTAAATTAAGGGGGGAAGAAAAGAAGAATCCATTCTGTGAAATGGAATGCCCCACTGCTTTATGACTATTACTGTTGTAAGGTTTTGCATTTAAGTACCTGAGGTTTAAAATTAAGTGTCTAATATAATTTGGCATTGCTAACATGAGACCCGCATCTACCCTTAGAGAAAATCCAGACAGCTCCGTTCAGAGTTTCAAATTGCCGTCTGCTGGCTTGCCAGCATCACGGAGAATTGGGTCCCTCTCCGACAAAGCACCCCATGCTGCTCAGTGTAATTTTTTAAATGCAGAAACATATTCGTCTTGAGCTTCTGCATTGAAAAAGGCTGTTCCCAGAGTCCATGAAAAATTAATTTTTTTACATTTTTTCTCACTCTCCTAAGTGTTTGACAGAAGTAATTTTTGCAGCAAGAGAGAATAAAAACCGGTGGCTGTAAATTCCTGTCCTGGAACCTCTGTGTAGATTCTTTATGGACCCAGAATTGATCTACATGTCAGAGCCTGTTGTGGTTTCGACTGTTTATCACTGTAATGGCAGCGGTGATCCTGTGAACACCAACTTATATTCCCGGGTGAAAGAAATTGGTGTTTGCAGTCAATGAGGGGGCAGCTCAGCCTTATTGATAGATTCAGAACAATTATCTCTGCCCCAGCTATTGGCTGAGCATTTTCTCGAATCTTATTGGGAGCCTCTCTCTTTTTTTTTTTTTTTTTTTTTTTTGAGTAATCATTTTCTCTATGGGTGATTTTCTCCAGGAGTGTTAGCCAAGAGTTAGCATTACGGCAGGTAGCAGGGGATCCTGGAGGGTCATTTGTGACATACTTGGTTGTCATATCTCACTCCAAGACAAAATGCATTTTTAGATACACCACACCTGTGCCAAGTGCCCAAGCCAATGGCGTGGACCTGCTGCATTTGTCT